AAATATGCTCGAATTCCGGAAGTCTGATCTTGCGTTGTGACTTCAAATGGCTTGACCAGACAGTTACTAGGATAAATAATTGTAGTGATTATATTATTAATGAAGTAGTCAGTCTTGGTGCCCATCGAAATGCTTGCAAAACATTCAAGGCAAACAAAACCATCAAATATACAGATCCTAATAAATCATTAAATGGTTTGAGAGAAATTGGTTTTTACTTTAATATTCCAAACATAAGTGCAGAGGAAGCAACCAATATTGGCATAGCTTCTCTTTCCATACAGTTGACTTCTCCTGGTAAGTGAATAAATCATAATATTAGGTTTTTCTGTTTACGATTTCAATATTTCTTTATTTATAAATGAATAAATAGATTTCAACCCATTGCTGAATCCAGACCAAGTTATAAGTAATATGGACAAGGCCGTTTTGTCAAATCTGATACTTTTATGGGATTTTATTGCTGGAATGGCTAATTATGCTGCAGTTGTAAGGATTTTATGCCGATTTTTATTTTTATTATTTTTTTTTTTTGTTTGTAATTTATTTATTTATTTTTTAATAATTTTCTACTGGTTTTTAGGTCAAATTTAGGACAATTGCTTATAAGGCTATTCTTCCGAATGATGCCAATGCAATAATCGGATTGGCTCCAAAACATCATGTTACCTATTATTTAGAAAGCGATGCTCATTATTTTCCTTTTAATAGTAACACAACGAGATTGCCAAATGGTACAACTAGCTACTTTTCTGTAGCTGCTGGTAGTTTTATTCAAGAACAGACCATTGAGCAACGGTAATTATTATTATGAACTAAGTTTTATTAAATGTATATTATGAATGCGATTGTGACTATTTTTTTTTGGTTTTGACATATAGTACGCACACAGTTTTCAGTGCCCTTGCAGCAGGTGGTGGCTTTTCTGGTTGGTATAATCAGTTTGATTTGGGTTCATCATTTAATTTGAATTTAAACTTAATTTCATCAATTTTTGGCAATTAAAGGCATCCTATTAGGTGTTTATGCGTTTTTGTTTGGGAAGTCCATAAAACCATACGGCTATGTTCATAGTTTATTTAATAGCGTGCCTAAATTTTATACAAATTCAGGGTATGATATTGATTCTCGTGTTACTTTAATTGAACAATATTTACAAAACTTTATGCATATTAAAAGAGATGATGAGGATAAAGAAGTTTAGAAAAAATGAAAAAATAAGAAGTATTAACATTCGAGATTCTTGTCGAATCTGAATTAAGGGTTTAATCAATTTTATTCGGTAACTAATGTAACGGAAAACATAACTAAGTTTCACACGTGGTTATGTCATTCGATATAATAAGAAATAGTAAATTTATGCTTAGATTAAGGTTAGCTAATGTTAGGGCTAGAGCAGGGTTGACTATGATAAAAATAATTATATCAATGTACATTAACGGATCAATGGCCATAAATCCATTGATTTATTAATTTTTAATCATATATATCTATAATTTTTTATCATCATAATATAAAACTAAAAAAGGCTGGTCACCCGGCCTTTTATATATCCACCCAACTATTAAAATATATGAAAAAAATTCAAAATTCTTATAGCTGGCAAATTTTGTACAAACTAATCAAACATATTGGATAAGCATTCAGACAAATTTTAATAATAATGAGTATGTCAATGCTCTAATGCCCTATAATATTTGATGCAAAAGCAGCATTATCATTAAAAAAGTATTCATCTTTTATATTTCCTAACGATAAAAATAAAAATTATTATAATTGCTAAAAAAAAAAAAAAGAATCAATTTTTTTAAAAAAAATTATTGGTTATCCACGTCACCTTAAAACAACGAATAGGTTCTTTTAAATGAAATCTTTTTGCAATGGCAAGAGTAAATAATTCATTTTTTGGACAAATAAATAATCAAATCTTACTCTGAAAAGCCACAGTTGTTTTGCTAATAATTTGATAGGGCAATTATTTTGTTCATTACATCTTATTAATATTAAGATTCGGTATTTGCAAATTCATGAATTTCGAATACACATTCTCTCTTCGGATAAGCTTATCAAATTTTCTTTGAATAATATATATTTTTAGTATTCGTACAAGGAATTCATGAACAAAAAAGTAAAGGAATTGAATAAAATAATTTAAAGAAAAACATGACTTTTATGCTTCATTATTCATCATTCGTCATATATCTGTTATCGCTATAGGCTTCTTTATTAATCAATCGTAAATAAATTATAAATAATATTGCAACTAATTTAAAAGCTCTTAGAATTAAAAATTATAGCCATTCTTATAAATTTTTAAACTAGAAAAAAATCGCCTAAGACTAAATTAATGAATTTTTAATTTCGGTCTTATGGATTTTAATAACTTGTAAATTTGTTATAACTGGCAAGAAATTTTTTTCTAAATTTATAAAAACAGCTATAATCAAAATACAAGCTAAAAAAAAAAAATTGTATTTATATACAGTCTGCCCTCGTTATAATCACCAGGTTGGGAAACAAAATTTTGGTGATTATAAAAAGTTGACTAAATAAAGGTCGTTTTATAATAACTAGACCAAAAAAATAGTGTGATTATAACAAGGTTGTGACTATATTGAGAGTGACTATAACGAGGCCAGACTGTATATTGAACGAAATGTCTTTTTTTTTAAAAAAAATAGATAATTCGTATCTCTAATTTTTCATCCTTCTGATTTTTTTTTTTAATTTGTATATTAATATTTTATTAAGATCGTTTATGTTTTGACCTCAAGTTTTTAGATTTAGAGTAATGCATTCATTAGTGCTAATTTAATATTATACGGTCTCAATAAACATTATTTAATCATTGATATTTTTGGATATTAAAATAGTAATAATTATCATGATAAATCTAATCTACCTTAGTCACATATTGTGTGTGCAACAATAGCTATTAAGTTTTGTAATAGATGGTTTTTTTTTTTTTTTTTACATGTAACTCATAAATATGATCAAAAAAGATGGGTGGCGCATTCGTGCCACCTATTACACTAGTATTTGTTTATGTACCAGCGATGTGAAGAATTTTGGTTGACGTTATTCACATGATCAGAATTGCATGTAAATTTGATTTCAGAAACTTACACACATTTTACGTAAAACAACGTGTACTACTATCCCGACTTAGAATTAAAATTCGGGAAAGTTCATGACCGATCATGCTCGAAAATTTGAATCTAATGAAAATCAACATAATAGTTGAGTATTATAGCGATATGATAACAAAGAAAGCGGCAAATTCGTTCTCTATATCTTGGATATTTTAATTAATATAGTCTATAATAAATTTCATGCACACGAAAAATAAGTCAATTTAATTAAGAGGCTTAACATTTTAATACAAAAATGTAAATAATTGATATCGATATGAAGGGAAATTTTGTACATTAAATTATTAAGCATAAGATTGTTATAGAAATAGAATGTAAAGTACAATTTTCTATTGTATCCAGGTTCCCATTATTAACAAAGTATTGTATCTTCAGCTATAATGTTTGTTCTAAAATTAGGTTTCTTTTATTTATCCAGTATTTCCAATTCATGAATTTTACTATCTATAAGAAGAATTGTTTAAACAATATAGTACTATAATATAGAACAATACCAATTTATTAAAAAATTTATAATTACCTTTATAATTATTGTTAGATGGAATAATACTACTTTTATAATGTGAATTAATATATTCTTGCATACTTTCATTTTTAATAATATGTGGTTTTTTATCAGATTCAATTAGTTCTGATAACGTGTTTTCATTATTCTGCCATTTTGTAAAAATTTCCATTGCTGTTGGCCGTTTCTTTGGTTCTTCACTCCAACATTTTTTTAGTAATTCTGCATAAAATTTTGCTGTATTTTCATGAATATGTGGTCGTAAACCATTACAAACGCGTATTTGATAATGTATTTTAGATTTTTGCTCAAAAGGTCTGGGTTTACCATACAAAATTTCCCACATGATTATACCAAATGAATAAATATCAGATGCTTTACTATATTGTTGTTTGTTCAAAACTTCAGGAGCAATATACGGCAAAATCCCACAAACTCCATCAGATTTTGACTTTAATACAATATTAGCTGCTATTGAAAGCCCTAAATCTGCTATGTATGCACTTTTCAAGTTATCTTGTAGTATATTTCCACTATGTAAATCACGATGAATAAGGTCATGAGAATGAATTATTTGGAGGTCTGATGCAATACATTGTAGCAGGTTTAATTTGTCTCTCCAATCCATTTTTGCTACAGAACGTAGATTTTTGCGTAAACAACCTTCTTTAGCATATTTTATTACAAAAATATAATCTTTAGAAGCTTTTTCTTTTGATATACCAAAACATTTTAAAAAAGTTGGATTTTTAAGGCCAATATCACAATATGCTTTTAACTTATTATCAAAATGAAATATACATTCAAGTTATTAATATAAACGATAAATCACAAATCATATAAATTATTAAGAATATTTAAGAATTTACCTCTCTTATAAACTCTTCATGAAAATTATTGGA